TTATTCTAGATTGTTGCTATATTCACCACTTTTCTCACTATTTCAGTTTTGTCTCACTTGTATCACCGCTCAATTTTTTTTTTAAAAAAAAAAAAAAAATTTTTGATATAATAATTACATGTGTCTAATATGTGAATTATGCTGTCTTCATCTGGCCTCAATCCTTGCGTAGACGTGGATTCACCACCAAGAACTAGAACTTTTTCTTGTATCGTGGTCATTGTGAGATAAAATCTCGGATTTGGCGTAGGACCCATTTTTTGAAACATATACCATCTTTGATCTGAAATTATGCCGAATTATTTATAAAATCAAAATAATAATTTATTATTATTAAAATATTTTCTTACTTACTACTTATCCTAAATGCAGTCAAATCGCCTAATTCTTGCCCATCTTGCGTCATACCGCCAAATACATACATAACATCATCCACAATGGCAGCACCATGAAACTTCCGAGCAGATGGAATAAAGCCGATGCAAGATAATTCTGACCATGTATTAGTGCGTGGATCAAAACACCACATATCATTAAAACATCTATGCGCATCATTTCCACCAAACCTTATTGAAAGAAAATTGAACAATTAATTAAAAAAAAAAACTAACAATAAAAGTGAAATGTTTTAAAATAACACTTACACATAAATTTTATCATTATGCACGCATGTTATATGAGCCATTCTTCCCGGAGGAAGTTGGCTTGCTGGAGTAATAAATTCCCAACCAGCACCGCTTGAATTATCTGTATACATAAGTGAGTAAATAAATATAAGCAATTACACTAAAAATATAAAGCTATAGGGACATTTATAGAACTCACACGTGTTCACATCAAATACCAACAGATCATTTAAATAGTATCCTTCGAATCGGCCACCGAATATATACATTTTTGATCCGATAACAGCCGAAGAATGCCCATATCGACCAATTGGCGCAATACCGTTTACAGAAATACCACCCCACCTTTTTATTGTTATAGTAAAAAAATAATGTGAATTATTCAAAGTAAGAAAGTTTTTTTTTTTTTTTTTTTTTTTTTTTTTTTTACCTAGGTCAAGCATGTAAAGGTTATCATCAATTCTTTGGTCTGAATATTGAGGATCCTGAGTTAATCCACCGAAAACTAAAATATTAAAATTCGGAATTGAGTACCGATCTAACAACTATCAATTATCATAGGTTGAGATATAATATTACCAAATAGTTTTGATCCAATTTCTGCATGTGTATGCCAACTTCGAGGTGGAGGGATATCACCAGTAGTTGAGATACTTTGAACATTTAGTGTGCCTAATGTTTATATATATATATATAAATAAAAAGGAAATTCTGATAAATTCGTTTGGAATAAAATTAAAAGTGACATACTAATTTCAATAGAAAAAACATCATTTCTAGCTTTTCCCATATAAACACCGCCAAAAATAAGTAAGTCATTGGCAGAAGCCATGTTTGATGCAGAGTGTCCATATCGAGGAAATGGGTTGGTAAGACATAATTTTCTTTGAGACCAAGGAAAAGAAGATCCAGCCTTTTTACGTTTGCCTTGACTCATGTTTTAAAAATCTGCGATTACAAAATAAGAGTTTGGTTTGCAGGCATTAAACTGACGAGAAAAAAATTGTTCTAAAGAATGTTATTTTCAGAATCAAGTAAAGTCTCGTTGTGCAATGTTGATTGTGTGATGTGTGGTGTGTTTTATATGAATAAAGAAGGTTTCCAAGAGTATCGAGTATGTATTGCATATAGAGCAAATATGGTAATTAATTTATAAGATCACGTACAATTTAGCATATAAAATTGTAACATCAAGAGCATCCAGTAAGACAGAGATGGTATGCAGTACAGTTTGAGAGTATCCAAATTTGAAATTTAGTGATTGTCACGTGATAAATTTAAACAGATAGCACCTGTAAAAAATTTTTTATCATGGTGAAACAATAATTATCGAAATATTTTAATGCATTCTGTTTACTTGTAATTGCTTCAATACGTTATGCGCATCATAAAAATAATGAAATTTAGTTTTACCACGTGACAGTCATTACTCGTACAATACGGTCGACTTCCTCTATGTAATATATATAGAAATTTCGGCCGTTACTTTGCGGATGACTGTACGTATGGATAACTAAAAAAAGGATAAATCATCCTTAATTAATATACTTTTGACTCTTGAACGATTCATGAACAATTAAATCTTTCCATAACACTTTATGGTGAGCAATTTAACGGATTTGCGACAAACTTAAAAAAGAACTTTTTATTCGTAGCAAGATTGCACTGAATAACTTCACTTCTAAGAGAAAAACTGTATCTTTGGCTACGAATGGTCACTCATAATACTGCATTTCAATTTGCCGATTAATTATTGTAAAAGAAATTAGTAAGTGATAGAAGGAATTTCATTAAGCATCGTTATTAGAAGAGCTTGGAAACTTTTAATAATTCCAAAGATAAACCAAGTTAAAGATTAAGTGTTATTACACAAATACCATACAGACTTTACGACTAATATTGTACATAGTTCATAATAATATAGAGATCGCTGTTGCTGGAATTTAGTACAAATTATAGCGATAGAGACACAATGCATAACAGATAATTTGCAGGTCACGAAACAAAACTCTATTGGTGTTTCGTTAAAACTACAGTATAATTAATTAATTCTTTTAGTGGACTTACAGAATTTGAATAACGAAAATTTTGTTTTACAGATCGACCGATTCTCCTCCGTCTGTGCATCTAATTCATAGATTAAATACAGTAAATGTCATCGGATTATCTTGTGAAAATAACAGAGAATCCAAGCTGAGACTTATGTAAATTCTTCATGTTAGAAACCTATTAATTACCTTAATCGATAAACACGTACATATTGTAAATACATACAGTACAGCAGTACAGTACGTATATATGTACCTATGTACCTATATACCTAATTTTGTAATTGTTTAATTTATTTATTGCTTTTTTGCTCGTGAGCATGAAACCTAATATGTATTAGTAGAATTTGTTTAATTTGTTTGATTGCTCAAAAAGTGTGCTTTCTTATGCACGCTCGCGAAATTAATGCGCCAGGTATTATAATGCATAACTCTAAATTATTTTTAGATTTCAAATAACTAAAAATTTAGTATACAGTACAGTATATGCTATATTACTTATACAGTATATATACTTATATATATACTGTATATATATACTGTATAATATTAAAAACAATTAAACTGTAGCTAAATAAATTTTTTTCTAGATCATATATATGTATATATTAAAAATAAAATTGAGCGGTGATACAAGTGAGACAAAACTGAAATAGTGAGAAAAGTGGTGAATATAGCAACAATCTAGAATAA